CTCGGTGGAGAAGAGTACTCCCACCACGGCAGCCCAGAGCAGCTCGACTGCCGCAGCTACAGGGTCCACCTCTTCTGTACCAGAAAGGGTGCCCCTAGGGGTGACCACAGCACTTCCACCTCCTCATGGCCGAGGCAAACAGTTGAAGGCACCGGTCAATGCGGTGACGGGGTCCTCACTATGGAACCGTTTCCATAACCCCCCAGTATTTTTCGGAAAAGATAAATCTCACCCCGGCGAGCACTGGTGTCCAGATTGGACACTTAAGGTCAACGACAGGTGCACCAATCCTCGGGTCGCACAAGACTTGGTGATGCAATCAAGCTTGCCGAGGGACGTAGAGTTCACAAGGAAACTGTCCCCGGCCGAGGTGATTCAAAGTATAATGGTGACCACGGCCTCCCAGACTGCGTTTGTGGCCGAGATGACGCATCGGTACTGTGCCCTAATCGAGGAGCAGGACACCGGCAAGCTGCAAGATCAGATTACCAAGTTAAAGAAGAAACTGGTGGTGTCCGAATCCGAGAAGTCCGAGCTTCAGCGACGTCTTTAAGAAATTGAGACGAAAGAGGAGGAGGCCGAGGCTACCATCAACAGCTTCAAGTCTGCTTTGGAGAAAGAGCAGAAGAGGGCGGAGGAGGTGAAGAAAACCCACGAACAAGCCCTCGAAAGCGCAAGGACCTCGGCTGTTGAGAGCTTCCGGAAGTCTGAGACCTTCATCGGGGATCTCGGCCAGTTGACAAGGCCGAGCTTCATGCTAGACTTCACATCGGCCATCGACGAGGCCGCAACTCATCTACCTTCTGAGGCTTTGGAGTCCTTAAGGAACAATGCCAACTATAATGAGGACTCCAAGGAGCTGTGCGATCGTATGGCCGAGGGCATCCAAGCTGGAAGGAACTTGGCCGAAATCCAGGACGAGTTCAACAAATGGCTGGCTGAGCTTGATGAAGTGTTTGAGGAGGAAGGAGGAGAGGATGCTGGAGGAGACGTTGGCGAGAAGGCTGACGAAGTGCAAGGAGGAGAAGGAGGAGAGCTTCATCCCGGCGGGGAAGAAGCCGGAATGGCAACTAGCCAAGAGGGGACCGAGGCGGAGGCTTAGTTCGTAGGGTTTAAATGTAAATCCGAGGTGGGAGGTGCTTAGTAGTACCTCTGACCTCGGTCTTTGTCTTCTTTTTGTAATGCCTTTTCCTTATTGAATGAAAGATCTACTTCTTTTCACTTCGGCTCCTTTAATTTCTTGCTTCGTCCCCTATTTGTCTCCCTTATTTTTTAATAACGGATGTATAGCATCATGGCATTGAAAAATAACTGAGTAGCTGAAGTGATAACTTAGTAAAATTTTCAAGCATAGTACAGTTTGAGGTTCTCGGCGTGCCAAGTCCTCGGCACTAAGGAGCCATCTCGGTAGCTCAGTTTACAATACCCATTAAGGTTAGACTCCACAACTCGGTAAGGGCCTTCCCATTTTGGGCACAATTTCCCTTGCGGCTCAGCTCGGCTGACCGAGTTTTTCCTAAGCACCAAGTCCCCTGGCAGGAATCGCCGGTGTTTGACGCGGGCATTGTAGTAGTGAGTTAGGGTATTCTTGTAGGAAGCTATCCGAGCTGAGGCAATGTCTCTTTTCTCGTCGATGAGGTCGAGATCCAATTGTCTCTCTTCTCCGTTCACCTCGGCTACATAGGCTGTCAGCCGAGAACTGGGTGTAAGGATCTCAGCAGGGATGACAGCTTCGACTCCATAGGTCAAGGAGAAGGGGGTCTCTTGCGTGGATGACCTCGGCGTGGTCCGATATGACCACAGGACACTGGGGAGTTCTTCCACCCAAGATGATCCAGCTCGGTGTAGTCGGGTCTTGAGGCCATGCAAGAGAGTTCGGTTGAAATTTTCTGCCTGACCGTTGGCCTGAGGGTGGCCTACCGAAGTGAAGTGTTGTTTGATGCCGAGGTTCGCGCACCAAATCTTAAATGGGTTCTCTGCAAACTGTCTCCCATTGTCTGAGATGATGATCTGAGATATGCCGAAGCGGCAAATGATGCATTTCCAAAAGAATTTTTGAACTGCTAGCCCTGTGATGTTCCTGAGAGGTTCGGCCTCAACCCATTTGGTGAAATAATCCACCGCGGTTACCAAGAAGGTATAACCCCCGACTGCTTTTGGGAAGGGGCCAATGATGTCTGTCCCCCATTGCTCAAACGGCCAGGGTGAGGTGATTGGAACCATGAAGTTTGAGGGCTGGTGGTGTTCGGGGGCGTTGGCTTGACAGGATGGGCAGCCGAGAACAAGATTTTGGAAATCCTGTCGAACGGAAGGCCAGAAATACCCAAGGAGCAAGGTCTTCCTGGCCAACATCCTATGGCCGACGTGAGCTCCACATAGGCCCTCGTGTATCTCGTGGAGGACCCGGAGTCCTACCTCGGGCGTAATACACTTCAGCCACGGGTCAAGGTAAGAGCGTTTGTACAGCTCTCTATCACGGAGGGCATACCGAGCGGCTTTGCGTTGTATCTTCCTCGCCTCGGCTCGATCCTCGGGGAGGATTCCCTGCCCTAAGAAGAGGATGAACGGGCTCATCCATGTATCTCTCGTGCTTACGGGGCAGGCCACCTCTCCCATGTATCCCGACTCGTTCAGCACTTCCACTAATACGGTCTTGTTGAGGTCAGAAAATGATGTGGAAGCCAGCCAGGATAAGGCGTCAGCCCGCCTATTCTGGGAACGGGGGATTTTTTGAATTTCAAATGACTCGAAGTATGCGGTGAGTTGGTGAACCTTAGAGAGATATCGTTGCATGGTCTCATCCTTGGCCTCATATTCACCAAGGACTTGGCATACTACGAGTTGGGAGTCGCTGCGGACGTGGATCCGCTGTGCACCGAGCCTACGGGCTAGCTGGAGTACCGCGATCAAGGCTTCATATTCGGCTTCATTGTTGGTGGCCGGGAAGTCAAAACGGAGGGCATACGAACATACTTCTCCCTGGGGGCCCACCAGGAGCAGTCCGGCTCCACTGCCATCCCCGTTAGAGGATCCGTCTACGTATAACATCCACAAGTGTGGGGTGGACACTTCGACGACGGCGGAGGTGGATACTCGACCCTCCGTGAAGGTGAGCTCGGTCAAGAAGTCGGCTAAGGCTTGAGCCTTTATGGCGGTGCGTGGCTCATACGACAGGTCGTACTACCCCAATTCGACAGCCCACTTCGTGAGGGGGTCGGAAGCCTCTGGCCGGACCAGTATCTGCCGAAGTGGTTGGTCTGTCCTGACGGAGATAGGATGAGCTAGGAGTAGGGTTTCAATCGCCGGGCGGCGTGGACCAATTCTAGCACGAGTTTCTCCACCTGGGTATACCGAGTCTCTGGCCCACGGAGAGTTCGGCTGACATAGTAGACCGGCACTTGGGTGTCCTCATCTCGGATGAGCACAGCACTGACAGCTTCGTCGGCGGCGGAGAGGTAGAGGTACAGCTTTTCTTCGGGCCGAGGTGAAGCGAGGGTAGGCAAAAGATGCAAATATTGTTTCAATTTGTTCAAGGCAGCCTGGTACTCTTCGGTCCAGGCAAACTGATCAGCCTTCTTTAGCACCTTAAAGAAGGGCAAGGCTTTCTCAGCAGATTGGGACAGGAAGCGGTTCAGCGCGGCCAGGCGCCCATTCAGCCTCTGGACTTCTCGGAGGTTCCGAGGCGGGGACATGTCTTGAATGACCTTGACCTTATCGGGGTTGGCCTCGATTCCCCGGTGGGAAACCAGATACCCCAAGAATTTTCCTGAGGTGACACCGAAGACGCACTTCTTGGGATTTAACTTCATCCTCGAGTCCCGCAGAACGCCGAAAACCTCCCTTAAATCTGATAAGAAGACCGAAGTGGTCAAACTTTTGACGAGAATATCGTCCACATAAGCTTCCACATTTCGGCCGATCTGATCCTTGAAGAGGCGGTTGATCAACCTTTGATAGGTCGTGCCGGCATTTTTTAAACCGAATGGCATGGTGGTATAGCAGTAGACACCTTGGTCGGTGTAGAACGCTGTCTTCTCTTGGTCCTCCTAACTCATTCCTATTTGATGGTAGCCTTTGAAGGCATCTAGGAAGCAGAGGATCTCATGTCCCATGGCCGAGTCGACAAGGGCGTCAATCCTCGGCAGAGGGTAGCAATCTTTGGGGCAGGCCTTGTTAAGGTCGGTGAAGTCGACACACATCCTTCATCCACCGGTATCCTTTTTGACCATGACAGGGTTGGAAAGTCAGGTGGGGTACTGGACCTCATGGATCATCTTGGCGGGCAAGAGCTTGTCGACCTCGTCGGATATGGCCTTGCTGCGTTCGGGGCCGAAGTGCCTACGTTTCTGTCTCACAGGACGGGCCTGTGGGTTAACGTTCAGCTGGTGAATCATGAGCTCAGGTGGCACCCCGACCACTTCATCAGCGGACCACGCGAAGATGTCCCGGTGGTCCTTTATCAAGTGAATCATCTCTTCCCTCAGAGGCGAAGGGAGTCCGGCCCCACTTGGACCATTTGGTCGGGTCTCGTCTCATCCAAGACCACCTGCTCCACCTCATCCCCAGGTTCAAGCCTGCCAGGCTCCCCTGCCTTCTGGGGATTGATGCTGTCTATGGAGAGGACGGCTGGCCTCTTCTCCTCGGCCCTTGATGCAGTCCGGGGTGTGACCGCGGACTGGATGGTGGCGAGGTAGCATTCTCGAGCGGCGTTCACATCGCTGCTCACCTCGACCACCCCCGCAGGAGTCGGGAACTTGAAGCTAAGGTGGTAGGTAGAGTACACAGCTCTCAAGGCGTTGAGCGTGGGCCGGCCTATCAACATGTTGTAAGGGGAGTCTGCTTTGACGACCGCAAAGTTAGCAGGTACAGTTCGGCAGCAGGGATGACGTCCGATAGTCACAATCAGAGACACCATACCTTCCGGGTGGACTACGTGTCCCCCGAAGCCAACGAGTGGAGTTCTGACCGGAGTGAGTTGCTCCCTGGTCAGTTTCAAACTTTCAAAAGTTCGGTAGTACAAAGACGTCTACCGAGCTTCCGGGGTCAACATAGACTTTTTTGACTATGTAGTTGTTGGTGAGAACTTCAATCACAAGAGTTTCGTGATTGCTGGAGGCGACCGGGACTGGGTCAGTGGGACCATAGGTGATGACCTCGGACAACCGGGAGCTCGGCTCGGCCACCTCCATCCCGGCCTGACGGTAGGTCCGCTTTCGGGAGTTCTGGCTGTCTCCCCCCGTTGGCCCTCCCGCGATCGTGTTGATCACCCCGGTGATGTTGGGGCCGTAGCCCGGTGATCCGTCGCGTGGAGGCCGCTTGTCCTCCCTACGGTCCTCGGGGTCTCGGCAATTCATGTTCGTGTCCCGCCTGTCTTCTCGGCGGGGGCCCCGACTCTCCCGGTGGGAGACGCTTCGATTGAAGCCTCCGTCTTTGCGGACGAATTGCTTTAGGTAACCCTGCCGGATCAAGTTCTCGATCTCCCGTTTCAGGTCGTTGCAGTCCTCAGTCTCGTGCCCGACATCCCGGTGGTAGGCGCAATAGAGGTTTGAGTTCCTCTTATCTTTTCTCCCCGAAATTTCAGAAGAGGTTCGACCGAGGTGATTCTGCCTCATCACAGCTAGGACATGGGTCCGGCTGGAGTTGAGTGGTGTAAGCTCGGCGTCCGAGGTGGACGACCTTCCTTTTACGATCCGGTCGAAGACACTTCGGCGGTCTCGGAATTGGCTCGACGAGCCGCTGGGGCCTTGTTCAGCCCGGCCGGCATCCTTTTTCCTCCGGGAATCTTGCCCGGTACGAGTGGCTTGAGCCTCCAGCTTCATGCGGTTTAGGTCTTCACTTCGGATTCCCTGATCTACTCGATCCCAGAGTTCTCGAAGTGTGCGGGGGTAATCACGATGTATCTCAGTATTGAAAATTCCTGCGACCAGCCCATTGGTGAAGGCAGCTATGGTTACCTGCTCATTCTGATCAGGTATCTGCACATTCTCCTCATTGAACCTCTGCACGTACGAGCGCAATGACTCACCGGGAGTCTGCTGCAGGTTCAAGAGGTAGGCCGAAGTCTTCGTAATCGGACGAAATAATACAAAGCGGTGGATGAACCGATTTATCAACTCATCTAGTGAGGAGATGCTCCTCGGTTCTAAGCCCCAGAACCATTTTCGGGCTGTCCCCTGCAGGAAAATGGGAAAAGCTCGGCAAATTACGGCGTCGGGGACGCAGTAGAGCCGAAATGCGGAGAGGAAGGCACGGAGGTGATTCTCGGGGTCATCTCGGCCATCGTAGGAACGTAGGGCGGGAAGTTTGAAATTTGGGGGGACCATCTCCCCATTGATGTCGTCCGTGAAGGGCGGAGCCCTCAGATATTCGGCTGCTAAGCCTCCGGGTCGCCGAGGCGGGTCCTCAGCTCGTTTTCCCAGAAGACCCCGGGAAAACGCCCGGAAAATGGAGGCAATTTTAGATGTCACCTTGGAAGAGGCGCGCCTGGAAGTGCTCCAAGAGAGGTGCCCCTCATCGGAGTCTTCGCCGGAAGGTATTTCAGGGGACTTCGTCGGTCTCCTCTTGGAGGATTTAGCTTTTTCCTTCCCCTGCCTCTTGAAGTACCTCCCCAGTTCTTCGAAGATGTTTGGGTTATCAGCCACGAACTCGGCCATCTTGGCGATGGCGTCTTCATTGTTGGGCTGGGTCCTTGGGGACCCTTGTTCTTCAGAAATACAATCTTGCTGGGCTCCCGACGTTTGCCCAGCCCCGGTCGAGGGGACTCTTCCACTTCTGGAGCGCGTGGATCTCATTTTAGCAGTAATCTCGTTCCCACAGACGGTGCCAATTGAAGAGGTGATTTTTGGTGGGTAGTTGAACCGACCGGAATCAGTCTCTTCTGAGGTGAGGTGAGGTGTATCTGCTTATCCGAAGTGAGTGGCGGGGCTTCTCCCCTGGGATCACTCCGACGATCAAGTTAGTATGAGAACGAGAGAAAAGCAATAGTATTGCCAAATGAACAGTGTGCTTACTTGTTGGGTGTATGTGAGAGATATTTATAGAGCGGGAATGGATGGCAGGACAGAGGGCTCATGCTAGTGGGACCCATGTTCTGCCATTACGGCTCTGTTCCTTGCCAGGAGGTCTGACTCTGATACTGTAGCCGCCTGGACAGGGTGACGGGGAGTCTTGTGTAGCAGCCATTAAAAGTATCAGTGCTTTTTAGATAAAGCACTGGTCTCTGATGCTGTCAGGTGGTGTGACATCATCAGCGTGCAGCTAAAGTGGAAGTCTGAGGTGCAGAGGTCGTCTAGGCAGTAGACCAGGGGTCATACTCAGGACAAGACTGCGCTTGTGTGAGGGAAGAAGTGAAATCACCTCGGCCCCTCAGGGACGGCCGAGGTGAGCATCCTCATCTCCTATCCAAATGCACTTGCTGTATTTTTTGAAAAAATTACTATAGTAATTTTTGTGATGTGATTCATGGAGATAAAAAAAGTTAAGAATATAAAAAAATGAATAAAAAATGTATTTATGATACAAACAAAACAATATTTGAAATAATATGTGTATCCAAAATGTTCTAACCAAACATATTTATATACTTCTTAATTAAAAAAATCATACTCCTTATATCTCAAAATTCATTCCTTTATATCTCATGAAAGCTACACAAACAAACATACACAACGTGCATAAACTAATTTTAAAAGAGTTATCTAAATCTGCGTTTACTACTTCATGTCTCAAAAGCTTGTTTACCTAATAAACTAATTCATCCATGAAAACAATATCATTGATTAGATCACCAAATCCAAGCACTCTTTAATATGGTGGATAAATCATCATATATATTTCTAATGGAATGTGATAAGATCTCAATAACTAGAAAAAGTAGTTAATCTTCGCAAAATTTAGAATTTTTTAAATATTCCATAACCTTCCTTATTGTTACTAATTACTATTCAATTTTTCTAACACATTTGATGGAAGCTCCCAAGCGTTGCACTCTTTTTGGACAAATAACTATTAAAACATATTCAAATTTGAGATTTTTGGCGTTACAATTTTCTCTAAATTGTCTTTTTTATCTTTAAATGACGCAATCATGCATTTAAAGATAACGCGTATCTACACTATTCAACATTTTAAACATAATGCAAGTCTACACTACTCAGCATTTGATGATGATGCAAGCATGCATTTAAAGATAACGCGTATCTATACTACCCAACATTTTCGACTCAAATAGTGCACTTTACATTTCAATCTATATTGTCTTTAATGATTCAAAATAACTTAATGTACGTTACACTTCAATCTATATTATCTTTTACAATTCAAATAATTTAATGTATGTCGCACTTCAATCTATCTTATCTTTTGCGATTCAACATAACCTAATGTACATTACATTTCAATTTATATTGTTTTGGAAAAATCATTCAAAACATCACTTATATTTTGTAAAATGACTTTTTCCTTACTTCACTTTTAAAAGTGTAATTTTATGTCAATTACAAATTCATATTAGTCAAATTTGATTCCTATCTAGGTTTTTTACTAGTGTTTAATTGGAATTCACCACGTGTCTTGCACGTGATCATTTTTGAGGGGCAAAATTGATAAATAATATTTCACATAATCCGATTCATGGTACTTAAATTTCACAAAAATGAATTTTTTGTCCCTCACATTTCATAAAATGAATTTTTTTATCCCTCATTAATCATGTATACGAATAGCTTTTTTTAACTCATGTATATATTTATTTGATTTCACCTAAACAATAGCATGTAATATATCTCTATTTAATTTCATTTACAACTATAATTAGTTTGTTTAGGTGAAATCAAATAGAGATATATTATATGCTATTCATACTGTTCAAGTGAAATCAAATAGACATGTACATGAATTTTCAAAAATAAGAAAATACTATTCATACACATGATCACTAAGAAATAAAAAAATTCATTTTGTGAAATGTGAGGGACAAAAAAATTCATTTTGTAAAATGTAAGGAATTATGAATAGAATTATGTGAAATATTCATTGACAATTTTGCCCGTAAAAAATGATCACGTGCAAGTCACATGGTGGATTTTGGCCAAAAATTAGTTGAAAACCTAGATAGGAATCAAATTTGATTAATGTGAATTTGTAGAGAATGTAAAATTGCACTTTTAAAAGTTAGGGATGAAAAAAATTATTTTACAATATGTGAGGGATGTTTTGACAGATTTTTCCTTATCTTTTTGTATTGAAAATAATCTAATTTACATTACATTTTAATCCATATTGCCTTTTCCCATGAAAAATAACACGTCTTTATATATTTCCAATCTTTATCATGCTTTCCTATTCAAAATAATGCTTAACCACCTTGCATCATAAATTTTGTCTTGTTATATAAGTAATAAAAAATTATATTTTTACTTGCAATGTAAATACATACATCACATCATAAAATATGCTACACTTTTATTTCAAAAATTTTTTCCCAACATTGAGTGTGTTTGGATAGAGTATTATTCCACTTGTATCGTAAACATAATTTTTAATCATCTTTTTATCTCATATATATCATATCACAAAAAGTGTTTAGTGTCATTGTAAATAAAATTTTTTAAATTATCTCCTATTCAAACGTAATTACTTTATTATTTGGAATAATTACTAAAGCAATGTTTGTGATATGATGTATGTGAGATAAAAAGATAATTAAGAATATAAAAAAAGTATTTGAAAATGTGTTTATGATACAAATAAAATAACATTTGAGATAATATGTGTATCCAAAATATTCTAACCAAACATATTTGTATACTTCTTAATTCAAAAAAGCATACTCCTTATATCTCAAAATTTATTCCTCTATATCTCGTGAGAATGATACACAAACAAATATACACAATGTGCATAAACTAATTTTAAAAAATTATCTAAATCTGCATTTAGTACTTCATGCTTCAAAATCATGTTTACCTAATAATCTAATTCATCTATGAAAACAATATCATTAAGTAGATTACTAAATCCAAGCGCTCTTTAATATGGTGGATAAATTATCTTATACATTTTTAATGGAATGTGATAAGATTTCAATAATTACAAAAGCTAGTTAATTTCTACAAAATTTAGAATTTTTTAAATATTCTATAACCTTTCTTATTGTTACTAATTATATTCAATTTTGCTAACACATTTGACATAAGCTCCCGAGCATTACACTCTCACTGAATAGTGTTTTTTTTTTATAAATAACTATTAAAACATATACAAATTTGATATTTTAGGCGTTACAGCCTTCTCTAAATTGTTTTTTTAATCTTTAAATGATGCAATCATGCTTTTAAAGAAAACTCGTATCTATGCTACTCAATATTTTCTACTAAAATGGCATATGTTACATTTTAATTTATGTTGTCTTTATGGATTCAAGATAACTTAATGTATGTTAGACATTAATCTATATTATTTTTTACGATTCAAAATAATTTAATGTACGTTACACTTCTATCTATATTGTCTTTTGTGATTCAAAACAACACAATGTACGTTACATTTCAATTTATGTTGTCTTTTGCTATTGAAAATAATCTAATTTACTTACATTTCAATCCATATTGTCTTTTTCTATAAGAAAAATAACTTGTTTTCGTATATATTTCCAATCTTTATTGTTGCTTTCTATTCAAAATAAAGCTTAACCACCTTGCGTCATAAAATTTGTCTAGTTATATAATTAATAAAAAAATTATATGTTTTTACTTGCAACGTAAATACATATATCACATTATAAAATATATTATCAATATATATTTATGATATAAGCAAAATAATATTTAAGATATCGTGCGTATCCAAAATGTTCTAGCCAAGCACATTTGTGTTTTACGTACTTCTCAATTCGCTACTCATATCTCAAAATTTGCTCCTCCATATCTCATGGGAAGATGCACAAACCAACACACACTACACTCCGCACAACGCGCACAAACTAATTTAAAGAAAAAATTATCTAAATCTGCGTTTAGTACTTCATGCTTCAAAAGCTAGCGTGTGTCTCAAGTCCGACATAAGCCACTGAGCCTCTCCGCACACACTCACACAGTCTCTCTCTTTCTCTCCCCACATTCCACAGTCCCAACAGTGGAGAGAGAAATGATGAGATGAGATGAGATGAGACAGATTAGAGATACAGACACTGCCATTACTGACGTCTACGGTTTCCTCTTCTTCCAACTAGCTCACAGCCAAAAAGCAACGAACACAACAAAGTGAAGCATACCTCCGTTTCTCCCTTTTGTCCCCATTCTCGCCTCCGTACTCATCCTCAAAGTGTCCGTTTTCTTCTTCCATAGCTTCATCCTCTGTCTCTCATACTTGTATATAATTCTCCTTGTAAATCCCAGTCTATGTTGTTCACATTTTGAGATATCTTCTTGTAAATCCCAGTACTTCTTTTTCTCATTTTTACATAATTTAGTTGCATATTTCGAGTATGTAATGGAGTATTTTAGTTTTGTTGTTGTTGCTGTTGGTAGGTTCTTTTGTACGACTGCCCATTATTCTAGAAGTCCCCTGTTTTTTTTTGTTTATTTTTTTTCGCTTGCTACAATTTGTAAAACAATGACCTTTTTGAAATTTGAGTTTACCATTCAGGCCAATCTTGGGCTATTAGAAAATTGAGTTTTTTTTTCCTTTAATTTATTATATTGATATAATGGGATGAATTTGACAGAGGAAAGAAAGAAAATAAAAGGGTTTATGAAATGAAGACATGCTTTATTTTTTGGTTGTTTGTTAGATTAGTTCTGAAAGTAGGAAGATGCAGGGGTTTCTAAGGAAACAAGAACGATGCAGAATTTTCTTGAAGTTTAAATACTCTTTAAAGATTCTAGACTCAGAGTTGTTGCTCTTTGCTTCTTTTTTTTTTCAGTTTTTTTGAAATGTAATGGGGGATTTTCTGGGTTTTTAGCTTTCCTTTTTTTTTTGGTTCTGTGTTTAAGAGGATATAATGAATTGTTCATTTTGCAGCTGTTTTGGGTAATTGAGATCAGCAGTCAAAGAAATGGATGGAAATCATCAAATGGAGGTGCATTACATGAATACTTTTGGCTATCCTTATAATGCTTCAGACAGTTTTGTGGACTTTTTTGGAGGTCTTCCACAAGCCCCTTTACCTTATATTCACCCTCCTCCACCAATGCCTCATGATCATCAGGTAATCTTTTCCTTTCCTTTTTTTTTCAGGGCCCAAATTTTTTGCAATTTCTGTTTGCAATTTCCTTTCCTTTCCTTTCCTTTTTGGGGGCACTGCAATTTCCTTTCCTTTTTTTTGCAATTTTTTCCTTTACTTCTTTTTTTCAGGGCCCAACTGTAATTTCATGAAATAGTGATGCGCAGTGCTTAAGAATAATAACTAAATGTTGTTCTGCTCTAAAGCAGAAAAGAATGTTATTTTCCTTGTTTAGGTTGTCCTATCAGATCTTTTATGAAAGCTATATACATATCAATGCTCATAATCGTTTCCTTAGTGGTGGGATTCTGAGGATATACTAATTCACTATTACATGTCCATAAATTTCTGCTTGTTAGTTGGATATCAGTTACCTGAATTGCTTGAAAGATGTAAAGCTGTTATACTATGATGCCTGGCTCTGCTTCAATGTTTTATGGTCAAGCTAATGAATGCTCAGCTCTAGTGTAACAAGTGGGGAACCTGTTATGCTGTCTCATTGTTACATTTCATTTCTTTTTCTTATAAAAAATTTGACCTAGTTTGTTCCGTACTTGTTCATTACAATGAGATATATGTAGCTATCTGCAGTTTGTTAGTGCAAATGTGTCAGGATGCCATTGACTCCAAAGTATAATTTTGAGAGGAAAGAGTCTTGGTTTCACTTTTATATGGTTTTTTCATATGAGAAAGGGGCAATTGATGCAAAATAAATTGTCAATTTGTATACTACACTTGCACGATTGATTGTATTACTTATTGAAAATTTTACTGTTTATTGTCTTTGCTTAGACACTGCCGAGCATTTGAGATGGATGGGAATGTGTAAGTTTCCTTTGTGATGGTGAATGTGTTTCATTGGTGTTTTATTTGCAGGAATCTGCATATTGGTCAATGACTATGAATTCTTACAGATTTGGGTTATCTGGCCCAGAAAATGCTCCCTATTATAGCCCTTATATTGTAAATGATGACTTTATGAGGATGGACTACAACCGGAGACCATGGGATTATCCTTCTGTTATGAATATACAAGAACCGCCAGTTGTAGATATGCCTTCGGAAGAGATCCAAGCCCCCAGTATGGAGGCGAACCCAGCCCCCAGTATGGAGGCCATCCCAGAAGAATGTGAGTTCCAGATTTTGTTCTGTTGTTTGGCCCTTACAGTTTAAACAAATGAAAACGGGGAAAATATCATGTTGACTTTCTACGTTTCTTGGTCTTAAGGGTGTTACTTCCTTTGTTGAGGTAGATCTCTTTTCAGTTTCATTACAAGTTTTTGTTGCTTGGTAATGCAATTCTGACCTTATCTTCGATGAGTTGTTCATACTAGCATTCTCATTTTCTATCCTTTGCACAGCTCAAACCTCTGCAGACAACATTAATCAGCAAGATTCTGGTGGTACTCAGGTATGTAAATCGATTATATACTTCTTTATCTCTTCATAATTCTCAGCTCATCACTTACGAATAGGAAATATTATTTTGCTTGGCTGTGAGGAAGATACTGATTTGTACTTTCTTTTTCCTACACTGTTGCAGGCTGTTTGGGAAGATAATATTGATCCTGACAACATGACTTATGAGGTACAAATGTTTGAAGTTTTTGCATTTTGTAAACTTATATTCTTTATGCGCTACAATGACCTGTGTTCTTATTAGAACCTATAATGGTTGAAATTCAATCAGCAAGTATGAGGCTTCTCTTATGCCCTGTTCAGTGGATAAGACTGTTATTAGACTGTTTTAGTTCGAAATGCTGGATCAAAAAGATTTTTGGCTGGTGATTGCCATGAACTTTGGTGAATGTTTATGCAAACTTCATTTCTCGAAGTCACATTATTGGAAAATCAATTAAAAGAACAAAATCTTCTCTCCAGAGTTCAACCAGTTGACCAGTTTTCATAACCAAAGAAAGACGTGCTTGACGTGAATATCAATCTTCTTTTATGTATTCCGCCATGTGGGTTTTAAGTCCCAAACTCTTAAACTAAATTCACAAGGAATAAAAGAAAGGACTTCTTCATTGTGCTTCTCTAACTGTTGCCGTTCTGGTAACTGACTCCATAATTCCAAATTCATGGCTTTTTGCTGACTATGTTGTTGAACATCCAAAATGGTCTTCATTTTCATTTCTCTAGCTTCTGGCACTAGAATAGCAAAATAAGAGTTCAGTATTTGGTGTAGCTGCATTAGCAACAGCAGGGTGAGTAAATTTTACAAGTGTATGATTACACAAAATGAGGAATTTGCTATATTTATTCCCTTTCGACAGATTAAGTAAAACACCTGATATCTCGTCTCGGTGTACAGATTCTTACAAGCAAATGTTAAGAATGACTAGACAAACTGTTTGGAGATGAAATCTAATTATGATATTATTTTTAGGAATTACTTGAGTTGGGCGAAGCAGTTGGGACTGAAAACCGGGGACTTTCACAAGAACTTATTGATTTACTTCCGACCTCAAAGTACAAATCTGGGGGAATTTTCTCCAAAAAAAGATCTACTGAGAGGTATATTCTTACTAAGATGTATTTCATGTTGAATGTGCCACTGTGCTTTCTTCTTGCTTGTGAGCCACAGCTGTTAGCCTCTATCCTTTCTGACACTCTGCCTTTCTCTCTATCTGTACCTGTTTACATTGGTTACTTTTGTCACATATCATTCAAATGTGGTCGAAAATCACTCTATCTACATGAAATTATGTTTAGCTGTGAAATAAACATTTGAGAAGTTCTTTGTAAGATTTGTATGATACCCAGTCTAGTGCATACGATAACCCTTGGAAAGAGCAGTTCTGCTTGCGGCAGTAATGTAGCCTCCACCTAAGCATTCTCAACTGCATATGGCAGAAGCCCTGCGGATCAGGTTTCCCTGTTGTTATGCCTTGTCTATGCAGGGTGATCAATTATGATACCCATTATGTGCTCACCAGTTGATCACTGACAAAGCAATGGCTTGTGAAAATGATAAGTAACACTAGTTGATATTAATGCAGTTCCATGATTGTTTTCAAGAATGCATTTCAAGATTTGAGCAAATAAATCAAGAATGGGTTTCTTGACCCCAACAAGGAAATCAGTTACCTAACCTTATCTACTCTTTGGAAAATATACAGAGTCCCCAGTATCACAAATACCTGATAATGTATGATACTGCTGCATTCAATGTGATACCAGAATCCAGCATTTCTGCTTCATTTCCTTTGTAAACGGCAGCAGGTGCCTCGGTATTTTTTTGTTAGTTTCTAGCTGAGGCTACCGAGCCTGTGTCACTCTTTTACTTGTGTTTTCTGTAAGACTAAGTACCTGCTAGGAAAGAGTAATAGAGATCTATTATGGGGCTGCCCTTTCTTTTATATCTAAATGTGTTGGCCCTTGTCAAGTTCTGAAAGAAGAAAGAAAACATAAAGAATAGTGAAAGAACATGAATGAACAAAATTAGAAGGTTTCTATCATTCTCTGCTCCTCTCTCTCTCTCTCTGTCACACACACACACACACACACCTAGGTCAGGTTCACTCATTTTGGGTTGCTGCTTCAATTTTTTTCGTCTAATAATTTAATTGTTTGTCATTTTTTTTAAAAAAATTTTTGCGACCCAGATGTGTCATCTGCCAAATGAGGTACAAAAGAGGGGACCGGCAAATAAATTTGCCATGCAAACATGTATACCATGCCCATTGTGGATCGAAATGGCTCAGAATTAACAAGGTATGGTAAATATTTTTGAGCAGAGTTCGCCTTAAAGTCTGATATTTGTTTGCTAATACATGTATGTATCTTGTTGGTTTTGCCAGACATGCCCAATATGCAACACTGAAGTATCAAGTGAAGAATCCAACCAATGAAGATTTCAAATATCAAATGGCAAAATAGATTAACATCTGCAAAGTTTTATAGATCTGCAATAGTTTTCCCCTTTTAACATACATAGAGCTAGTTTATTTTTGACCTTGTTGTTATAGTTGGGTTTAGAATTTTGTAATGTAGAAGTTTATAGTAGCTTTTTGTACAAGGGAAGCAATGGAACAGGAAGCTTGAAGGATATAGGTCCTTGAATGCTTATTGATGATTAGCTCCATGCTGTCTTCAACAGTTTTATTGATTAGCTTGATAGCTTCAGGGGAAATATATTTCTTGCTGCCGGAAGCTAATGGAAAAAGTTGATCGATTTGCTTCATTTCTTCCAAATATATACACTGAAATCACAGATACCGCTTAGAACTGAATACAGGGTAGGTGACTATTAGTCAGAAGTCGTTTTTATCAGTGTCCATTTGCCACAGCAGCCTCCCCCCCCCCCCCCCCCAAAAAAAAACCAAAAAAGATACGTATACGTAGTAGTTGCTCCTGATGTTATCAATAATTTTGAGCTGTAGCCTGGGGACAGCCTAATTGGATATAGACTTATTGTGTAGAAATTTCCTCCAATGAAGGCAATTTGGGGATAGTGTTTTGAAAATTGGATTAATAGATCGGTTCAACCAGTTGAACTGCAAGGAGGTCATGACGTTGGTTTGGTTTCATTTAAAACTTGAACAGACAAAAAGAAATTTTGTTTCTTGGAAGAAACCAAAAAAATTGGTCAAAGAATGGTTGAATGGTAAAAATCAGTAAAATGTGGACTTCTGAACTTGTTTGTCAGTAAAATTTCTCCTTTTTCTTGAATTACTTAGTTTTAATCAGAATTTTTATTTCTTATATAAATGAAAAAAAGTTGAACTTTTAACTTGAATGGTTGAACTGTGAACTAAAAATTACTCATCTCGGTCACTTGCTCATCCAGGTTTAAAAACATTGCCGTGAAAATGAGAAGTTCATTTTGAAAAGGCCTATACAGAAATTTTCAAATAGCTAAAGGTGTAAAATCATGGAGGAGGGTTAGTTTACTATTTTCTTAGGCACAAGATCATTGTTTATCAGTTAATCATGATAATCAAAATAGAGTATTCTTTTCATGCACGTATGACAAAAGCATATGAAGTTCAGGAATATAGTAAAATGATGCATGAGAAATTCCTTGTGAGATGCTAAAAGGGACTTCAAATGGGAAAGAAAAAAGCTTCAAAAAAATTGGGATGGTTGAATCGGAATTTCATTGCAGACATGAAACAACTCGTTCCTTTTCTTTTCTCTTTTTACAATTACAAATAGTAAGTCTTGAATCTAATTTGTATATTTAAAAAAAATTATCATATATAACACAAAAGCCTCTCCATTTGTCTCTCTGTTTACCATATATAACACAAAAGATTACCATCGATTCCTTCTAGTCGAGCCTCTCGATTTGTCATTATTCCTGAGAAGTAGAAATAATTATAAGTCCTCATCCCACCTAAAATTCGAGAAATTTGTTGAGAGTTGGAATAAATTTGTAAATCGGGTTGACTAATCCGTTTTAAATTTAAAATATTTCTACCAAGTTAAAATTTCAATAAATCAATGGGTTCCTATGGGTTGACTCACAATAGGATTGGGTTAATTGTGAAAACTAATGGGAGCCCAATTAATGCATTCAGGGGTAATTCTGAGCACTTTCATACACTCAAGCGAACATTTTCACACAACAATCTTTTCAAGTGTAAATGTAGAAAATAACTGGGGTCTAAAAATAAAAAACAAAAATGGTAACAAACTCATTATGGGTACCATGGGCCAGGATCACCTGCAAGCAATCCACGTTCAGTCATGACGTAGTCAGCTTTTGGAATACCCAGACCCAAAACATCCCACACCCAAATTTACACATGCTAGTTTTGGGCGGGCCTCTTCTTGCCAGGCTTCGATGGGAGGTGCTCTATGGAGGTCCAAAATGTAAGACATAAAAATTCGTCAGAAAACATACCAAAATCAAGTAAATTTTTATCCCATTTTGTGCAATTATTATGTTTTTTGGGGTACGATTATGTTACGTTATTATATTTAAGAACAATTTTGTTTATATAAATAAAATATTTCACACATATATTTAGTTCAACAATTAACGAGGTTGTACGTCAAAAACTGTAACATGTATAGTAATTGGATAGAAAAAAACAGTAGTTACCTGTACTCTTTTTGAAAGTTACCATGCATAAATCTCAAATATCATTAAGAGACAACACAAATTTTGTTCAATATTACATGAAGGGAGTATAAGATTGCTGTGTATGAATTAGTAGTTAAACTAACTCTTTTGAATTTAAATAAAGTACATATTTTGCAATATCTTGCTTCAAAGCTGGAAAGTCAGCCCATGGCGATTCTTTGGCTTCTTCGCTAGAAGAATTTTTTTTGTCTTGGTCCCAATTCAATACTAAACAAGTCCGAACTAATTGAAGAAATTCCTCGAATTGGTTTGCCGTTTCCATAAAGGATATAATTGACAACCTGAAGTCGAACATTGTCCCTGTAGACAATGGAATTTTAATTAAATTCTAAAAATTACCATTGGTCTATAAAATATTTTTATCCAATCGGATATTGCCATATGGCATGTACACTTGGAAAGTTTGGTTATTAAATAGCCAATTATATTCCTCCACGTGTCAAGTTGAGGTGTTCCAAACCAATTCAAATCGCAAGGGTATCTTCACCAACCAAATCATATCATATCACATACCTATTGGATAAATATCTAAGTATTTATTTCTTATTAAAGGGATAATATTTAGAGTTATTTAATCCAAGTATATCTCTTATATACTGCAATGGCCTGGCCAGTAAAATAGCGCCACGTCACGTGTCCCCGCAAGTCTAGCCAATCGAGAAATTACTTATCTCTTTATTAATGAAGAGATAATATTTAACTGGCACAGTCCTAATATGACTGTACGTCTTGCTAGGCAAGTAGAGTGGTGTACATGATCTCAACCTCCACCTCTTGCTACAACTATAAATAGAGGTTTCTCAACCAAGTTAAGGACACACAGAGATATCAAAAGAGCATCATATACGCTCAAAACATTGAAGCTCCAAGCTACAAAGGTTCGGCTCTTCAAGCTCTCCAAGTCTCCCAGATATCAAGACTTGAGTCTTCAAATATCTTCTAAAGTTCTTCAAATCTTCTATATCAAGATTTGAAGGAATCGGTGGTGGATCCAAGAACAAGCTGCGAAGCCCTTGGATTGGCGTTTGAGGAGAAGAATCGAGGGAAACTCTCCACAAGTTCGAGGAAACCCCAGAGATTGTACCTACATATTTTTCTAAATTTATATATCATATATTTGTCGTGTATTTTTCTTGTCGTTTTGCAGACTTGAAATTTTTATCGCGTACAAATTTTTGGCACGCCCGGTGGGACCATCTCTGCCTTCCATCTCTTCTCCTCGAATATTCAACTACGTCTATCACCAATGGCACCAAAGAGCAACAAAATCGTGATTGCACGTTCCAAGGCTACTGATGCTAAGCCTGTTCAGGAAGCTGCACACGTTGCCACCAATACCCGCGTTATTGGCCCCGTGACAAGGAGTATGACAAGAGCATCCACCCAAAGTAGCATGGAACCCTCGGCGCCAACTCCCGTCTTCGGGTCAACATCACAAATGAGCTATTCCTCCACGATTGGGGTCCAAGACGTTTTCACCTCGATTGAGAAGGCTCTTGCCATGCTCGAACTTGGATCCGAATCCAAGTTCTCTAAGGATGACGATGATTCATCAAGCACTGGATCAGTCTCTTCACATGAAACTCTTCATTCAAGATTTTCTATTGAAGATTCTGCTGCTTCTTCTACTGCAATGCCTGCTATGATGACAAATGCTTTAAGTCTTGAAGAACAAGTTTCGAACATGTCCAAGATGATGGAGACTATGATGAAACACATCAAGGACCAAGATGTTCTCATCGCTCAACTGCTCACCCAAAAAGATCGCGCTCCTGAAGGAAGCCATGCGAATCAAGAGCGTGAAATTCCCTCGTCTAAAGGCAAAGACAAGGTGAAGGAAGTATATGTGACCGCCGATGGAACTATCCCCGTGGAACAACTGAAAGAACTTGTTGAAGGCGTGATCAAAGATAAAAAGGAGGGTGGTTCAAAGTCAAGCTTTATCTACTGCAAGCCTTACACTGCTAGAATTGACAACCTAGCAATGCCCGCTGGATATCAACCGCCTAAATTTCAACAGTTCGATGGGAAAGGCAGTCCAAAACAACATGTGGCCCATTTTGTCGAAACTTGCAATAACGCTGGAACTTATGGTGACCTGCTAGTCAAACAGTTCGTCCGATCCTTGAAGGGCAACGCATTTGACTGGTACACTGATCTCACTCCGGGGTCCATCGACAGTTGGGAACAACTGGAACAAGAATTCTTGAATCGCTTCTACAGCACTAGAAGAACCGTTAGTATGCTGGAATTGACTAACACTCGTCAATGGAAGGATGAACCTGTGGTCAACTATATTGATAGATGGAGAAGTCTGAGTCTCAACTGCAAGGACAGACTGTCTGAACCCTCTGCCATAGAAATGTGCATCCGAGGAATGCATTGGAGCCTAAGCTACATTCTACAGGGTATACGTCCAAACACATTTGAAGAATTAGCTACTCGTGCTCATGACATGGAGTTAAGCATCACGGCCAATGCAACTGATGGGTTTCCTATTCAAGCTCCGCGAGTGCAGCCATCTCGTCAAAGCAATGACAGGCAAGAAAATAAAAAAGGGGGCAAGCCTCCTTCAAAATTCAGTAATAAGGAGTCCATGGCAATAAATACAGCTCCCATGAAAATTGCTACCAAAGTGAGCCGAAAGGTCACTGAGAAGTTGGATCCATCTCAAAATAGCTCAATAAGAAGACCCACGTTAAAAGAGATGCAAGAAAAAGAATACCCATTTCTTGAATCTGATTTACAAGGGATGTTTGATGACCTTTTCAAGGAGAAACTCCTTGAACTTCCTGAAATGAAGCGCCCAGAGGAAGCCGGTCAAGTCAATGATCCAAACTATTGCTGTTATCATCGCCTGATTGGCCACCCTCTCACTAAATGCTTTGTCTTTAAAGACAAAATTATGGAATTGGCCCGTCAAGGAAAGATCCTTCTCGAGGAAGATAAAGTATCGGCAAACCAAACAACAATAATGTTTGGATCTGTGTGTTGCCCGATAGAAGTTCTACCCACATCAAGCAGTGCTCTGTCTGTACAAACGGAGTTTGAAAAATCGTCAATTGAAAATGTTATTGAAGATGACAACGAAG